GAACTTCCCACCTCGAAGTCTTTTTTACAACACCTGCCATTTATAAGAGGGTGGTCCTTCCCCCCCAGTCCTCCCCCAGCCCGGAGGGGGGTTAAAACCACACGCATCTTAAAGTTGCCAAGGTTGAGAAACACTGCACAATACCATGATTTAAATCTCCAGGCTGTGGCCAAGCCCCCGTTTGTGGGGATCTCCCCCCCCCTGAGAATTTCTACAACCTGTTGTAAAGAGCCGCCGTTCCAAGTCACACCCCAAAACATCGTTCGTCAGTGCAGGAGAAATCACAACGCGCAAACCATGGTTTGGGGGCGTTGCATGGTCAACCTCCATGGTTGTGTCAAAGCATGGCAACGTGTGGAGACGCTGCAAGAAGCTGGGTTTATCTCCTGAGCGGGTCAGTCCGATCCACCGGGTTCAGAAGAGTCTTTCGCGCACCCCCTTCTGCACCACCCCCTGCGTTTGGGTCAGCTGCTCACCGCTGTGGATCCCAATCCTCAACTTGAGCTGCTGTTCAGGCCGGTGGTGAATTTTGAAGTTGCGGACCGCTTCCAGGAGCGCCAGGGACATGCGGGAAATCTCACGGGCGTGCAATCGGCCATTGCGAACGGGTAAACCGGACACCACCATGTACGCGTCCCCGATAGTCTCTACCTGGACAGAGAGGCATATCTAATAGAATATAGGTACACCCCACCTACGTGCCCAGAATGAATATTTCTTTCTTTTTTTAGAGTCTGCATAGTTGTTGGTTTTAGATTCTGTATATTTTTTAGATTCTCTATATTTGTTGGTTTTAGATTCTGTATATTTTTTTGATTCTGTAAACTGTTGATTTTAGATTCTGTATATTTTTTAGATTCTGTAAATTTGTTGATTTTAGATTCTGTAAATTTGTTGATTTTAGATTCTGCATATTTTTTAGATTCTGTAAATTGTTGATTTTAGATTCTCTATATTTTTTAGATTCTGTAAATTTGTTGATTTTAGATTCTGCATATTTTTTAGATTCTGTAAATTTGTTCATTTTAGATTCTGTAAATGTGTTGATTTTAGATTCTGTAAATTTGTTGGTTTTAGATTCTCCATATTTTTTAGATTCTGTAAATTTGTTCATTTTAGATTCTGTAAATTTGTTGGTTTTAAATTCTGTATATTTGTTGGTTTTAGATTCTGTATATTTGTTGGTGAGCATAACAACCCGAAGATAGGATGAAGTACAATCATAAATGGGACAGTCCTAATAAAATCAGAAAAAATAGAGAATAATGAATAAATGAGTGACCTTTGTAAAAACTCCAAGTATATCCCTAAAGTGTTACTGTAGAACCAAGCTCAGTCCTTTAACATATTATTAAATTCTGGGAGTTGAAGTCCACCTCTCTGAAAGTCGCTAAGGTTGAGAAACACTGATAGTGAATATATAATAAAATGAAAAAATGAAAGGAGAGCCTACATGAAGATATTTCTTTTACAATAATAGTTCCGATCTTAAGATAAATTACTTGTTATTAAAATCTCCATTGTGTTGTTGCATGGTGTATATGTATGTGTGTGTGTGTGTGTGTGTGTGTGTAGATATAGAGATAGCCCGGTGTGGCACAACCCACCCCCTCACCTTGTAGACATCAAAGTTGTCAATGATTGCATCAAAGCAGGTGTATAAGTCGTTCAGCAAGGCCACCACCTGGGAAAATAAAGAAAAAAACCTCGTTTACCTGGCCCTCTTTCGTCTGCACTAGCCCAAATTCTGCAAAGGGTGCATATGGGGTGGGGTGGGGGAAAGAATCCGAATCCTGCCACGTGCATCATTTTTGCAGATCAAGCCCTTTGGCTCCATATACGGTGCCAAACATATTCTGCAGAATTCAGTTCTGTTTTTGGGAAATCCAAAGAAGCACAGAACTATTTGGGGGGGGTCTTCTCCCCCCCACCCCCGGGAATTTTACTCAACCTTCTCTGGGGCTTGCAAGATTTACTAGCCCTGGCTACATACCTCCCACCCGCCGCTGTTCCTTTGCAAAGAAACCTATTGCTTCAAAGGGAAATAAATTAAAAAGTTGAGCCAAAGAATGGCCTGAGCATAGCCTTGGGGGGGG